CTTATAAGCCTTGTAATGAAATACTAATTTACTTATGTACCTGTTAAAATACGTATATATCTGTTAAAAGCCTAAGCCACCTGCAGAGCTGGTGTTTATACACACGATTACTGACCTTCTGAGCAACAGATATTTATTTGACAAAATAGTTGCTCCTATAGCCAATGTTGTTGTTCCAACTTTTTTAAAAGTTACTTTATTATGGAAAATGCCAAAGTATCATCTATTTTAGTTGCTTTTTAAAAGTTTGCATTTTCTGCAAAGATTAAAATGAAACCACTCTGAACAGTTGAAAAATCTGTGAGGATTGGAGAAGCGTTTTCATGAAGACATGACTTCAGTCAAGAAAAGCCCAGACGTATCAGGTGAATTTTTAGGAAATGGTTTCTAACGCGCACCATGAATATTGCATGTAACAGAATCACAAGGAGGAGAATAGTTGTGACCATGAGCGAAATGAAAAATGAGCTCAGCTTTGTAGGTGATGCAAAGGGTCAGCGCTGAGAGGAAATGAAACCTCAAATGGTGGAGGGACAGACAATGGTCACACAAACCTCCACTGCTTGCAGTAGGAAGCATTGTGGCTTTACACACCTTGCTCTGCTGGTAATGTAGCAAAAGGCAGAAAAAGCAGTGGTAGGTTGGGTATGGACAGCAGCTTTTAACCCTTGAAAACTCTTGCACTAGTTTCTGACCTCCACCCCCCCAGCAATCCATTTGGGAATTAAGCAGCCAGAGGAAATAGGGGATTCAGAGGGGAAATTGAAGGCAAATGCCTCTGTAGGCATCACAGTCGGTGTCTGGGGAACAAGCTGCTGCAGAAGCTCTGTGTGCTGATTCTTATGGATGCTCCTGGGGCTTTTCCAAGGGTGCCTGAACTTCAGATTCTTGTCACCATGCTGCAGAGGTTAACTCGAGTACCTGCCGTTGCCTTTTAGCCTTGAAACACAGTATGCTCTCTGTTAACGGAGAAGCTGCTACTTTTTAAGATATCTGTTTATAAAAGTTAGCAGCTATGTTATATGGAGTTTCTTTTAATTAAATGTTTATCTTTTATGTCTAGAGGTGTGGCCAGAACAATAAATGAACAGCATGGATGAAAGGTAGTGTCTTCTGTATTGCAAAACTGTTGGGATGGGAAACATCTGAATAGGGACCGACAGCATTTCCTCTGGTGTCAGAATAATTTTTTCTCTGACAAACAATAACATCGTTTCATTTGTAATGATGCTGTGCTCTCTGGATTGCTCTTTGCTTAACCGTTTTCTCATTCTCTTTATATCTGCACAAAATGCTTCCTTGATGTTCCTTATGATGCAGCAACAGAGAGGTATGCAAATAAACATTTTACACCCAGTGAAATATTTTATTTATGCCTGAATGAACTTCCCCCTTTAAGATTTTCATTCTGACTACTGGATAAGCTAAGAAAGATGTACACTGCACACACATTTTGTATTGCAAAGCTTCTTTTTTGTATGGGTAATTGGCTAGGGTGAGGTTAACTTTGGTAATGACATAGCATGTTGTATTTTGAAATCCATTACAACGTGTCTTGACAGAAACTCTCCCGACAGTGCCTGCTGTTTGTACCGGCCCTAGGAATCTTTGATACCACTCTAAAAAGTCTGGGAAAGACCCGGATCAGATTTCAGTAAAACTGTGTAATACAGTGCTGGAAACAAACGCATCTGGCATTGCAGGTGGACTGAGCAGCCACTGAGCAAAAGCTTTTGAAACCAGGAGTTACGTTTGCTCTGGGCACAGGACTGATCTTACGGGATTTTAAACGTGGAGTCCAGAGCACAGCGCACACAGCTTTACAGAGGGCTAGCTCGTACAGAAATAGGTCTTGTGGCCTTTGAAGAGTTCAAAAATCTTTTGTTTCACGGTATCAAAAGAACCATGTGCTCATTGATCTGGTTTCTACTGCTTAGAAACCATTTTTCAACTTTGTTTCTGCTTTGTCTCCATTGTCTGCATATACTTGTATGGAAATAATGGAAGATCAGAAAATTAATTATTAAATTATGTATCATATAATTATACTGATATAGAGTAAGTGCTAAACGTTCGGTTTATGTTATTGCATATTTTTCATGTGTTTCTTTGGCAAGCTTTAAGAGGCTTGTTTTATAAAGAAGCTAGAAGTCTCAAGCTGTCTCTACGTTAGATTTGAGCTGGATCAGGACCCCAGTCCCGAAGCAGTTGCCCCCAGTTCTGGGCTGTAGTTGGTGTTGTGGAGCAGGGTTGGAGTGCAAGAACAGGACTGCTTTAGGAAGATGCAGTGCATCTTTAAATTAACCCTTGCTAGATCTTGCTCCTACTGAATGTTCAGTCCTTGGGTCTGTGCTGGAGTGAATGGGGCAATAACCCCCCTTGCAGCAAATATGGGCTTTGGCACCAGCTCTTGGGGCTGTTTGCTACCGTAGACCTAGCTAAGCGCTGTGAGGACAACGAAAAAACCAAAACAAACCCAGTCGTGCTTCCTGATGAGGCTGAGGATCTTCTCTTTGGTGCAATGACGTGTGTTATCTCACATCCTGTATTTGTGTGATTTCACACGACATCGAGTGGACTTCTGTGGGATTATGGAGCACCTGCACGTTGTCACTGTTGATCCCTTGTTGTTACTGTCACAAACAAATGCTGACCTTGAGTTTACCAGCACAGCAGGCTTAAGTTACAGCTGTTCCTGTGCTTTAAGCTGCAGAAAAAAAATCTGAGTCAAAAGTGCTTTTCTCTGAGTTTACACCAGCACTGGGCAACCCGCAGCCTCTAAAGCTATCTCCAGGTTTCTTACAGCAATAGGCACAGGGGTTTTTTGGCTGACAATTGAGATCAAATTACCTTATATCCTCCACTTTAGCTGTTTGTCCTGTAGAAGCAGAACTATTGAAGAGCAAAGGGTTAGCGCTTAGGTGGCTAAATACCTGATCTTGCAGATACAGCAGGTAATCAAACACTGGCTATCCTGGTGTCTCGGCTGAGCGTGCAAGCGCCAGCCTCCCTGCGGGTGTACAGAAATTTCCTACGAACCGGTTTGCTACAGAGTCATCCATATAGCCATAAATATAAATAAGTAAATAAAGACCTCAGTATTTCAAAACAACTAGTATGTAACCCCTGTGGAACTGAGAATTTGGAAGAAAAAATCTCCTAATGGGTTTTCTCACAAACTAAGATAAAGCGATAAAGATAGTTGCTTCGAAGGGAAGATCCTGGCTGAAGGTGCCCCCCAGTGCTTTAAGACAAGTATGGGAACACTGAAATGTTGATAATGCAGGAAGAAGAAACTGTATTCTCTGCCTCTGTGGGATGGTGATGCCTGGCCAGTGCCTATTGATTTTCTGTGTGATTCCTTTTATTTTTAATTCAAGAGAAGACAAGGAGGGGATCAATTAGTTCTCGTGCTGCTTTGAAACCAGTATCCCAGTTTACTGCATTACTGCTGAAATTTTATGGACACCCAAAATTTGTTGGCAGTGGGTGAAAGATAATTTACAGAAAGGGAAGGAGAGGAGGTACCTTCCTCTCGTGTTTAGAAGGAAAAGTTTATTATGTGGTGCTTTGTCAACAGCGGGATGGAAGATGAAATGAAGGCGATGTGGGAAATTGAGACCTGCCACGTGGGAGTGCTTGTGGCCTTGTTTTATTGTTAGAGTCAGTTAGGGTTAGGATTACTATCAGCATTGTTACAAAAGTACAAGTCTTAGTGTGGACCCAGCCCAACCTGGCTAGCCCTCTACCTACAGGGTAAGGTGTGTAAGCACCATCCCATTGAAATAGTTGTGTCTGCAAGGGGACACCTCTGCCACTGTGACGGTTTGCTTTGGTGACCTTCTCTATCCTAGAGATGAAGGTACAAGTGAGATGTAGGATAGGGTGTTATAATCTGCTTTAGCTGCAGTTTAGCCGGTGCTGGTTTACTTGAGCCTGTGTATGCACAGAGCTCTGCTTTGGGGTTTTCCATTGTTTTTCAAAGAACTGGCTTTAAAGATTAATTAGGGCAGGGGGGAGTGAGAGCGTGTGCCTGCGAGGGAAAATGTGACTGTGAACCCAGCATTAGAGCACTGACCTGAAAGGAGGGAGAGAGGAAGGAAGGAAGGAGAGCTTTGGGAAGCTTTCACAGTGGATTCTTTGAAGAGTAAGTATAATTACTGTCCTCTGAGGGAGGAATCTAGAGATAATGTTGTGTATGTGCTTGCTGAAGTGCTGTGTAATCCCATCACGGGATTAGCAGTCAGGTTCCACGGGTGTCGATGCTAACAGCTGCATCTCAGCTGATTTAGCACGGGTGCACATCCTGAGAGAAGGATTATCCTTCTAAACTGTATTGGAGAAGAAATGCTTGTGTGGTGATCTGCCGTCACACGACGGCTGGTTTAGACTGCTGTAGCACGTTTGAACACGGAGATCCATTCCTGAAGGTCACAGGAGCAGCATATCCACCATTGAGCACAAGTCATCTGCCTCGTGCAAGGATTTGAAACACAGAGCTGGCTGTTGGGCTGGCATATGCCGAAGGAAGTGGGGAGATGCAGGTGTTGCTAACTCCAGCTGCAGTTCTCATCGTTTGGACTGGAAATTTTTCCTACATCTTCCAAAGCAGCCTTTTCTCTAAAACACACAGAAATAAGTTGTCGCTGCAGTAGTTGTATTTTTCTTATATCTACTCTGAAGCTCACAGAAGAATTAGAAAGATGTAAGGGGTTTGGGGGGTGGGCGGGGGAGTGTGGAGGGAAGATGATAAATCTGAAAGTGTTGAAATGGTAAATAACTATTTTGGAATATTTACTTCATCTGTGGATTGAAGCAAAAAGTAATTTCTTTCCTTTGCAGCAGAAAAGAGCTTTCAGCGTGTGTTCCTAACCTGCAGTTGTTCTCCCCACGAAAAGGAAATGTGTTCTTGCTGCATAGCCCAGCTGATCACGTGGGAAATGTCTTGGTTTATGGCCTAATGTTTTTTGTTTAATACCTTTTTTATTCCAACAGGAAATATGGGATGTATAAAATCAAAAAGCAAAGAGAATCTGCATGGAGATGGGCTAGATTTGAAGAATCAACCAGTACGTAAAACTGAACGAACTATTTATGTGAGGGATCCAACGTCCAATAAACAGCAAAGGCCAGTAAGTAGATAGTCTCAGGGGAGAATTCCAGTAGCAAGATCAAAGCATGACTGGCATAACTTAAATTTCGATCCAAAACACATGCATGAAGAAATTCAGATTGAGTATTTGTCCACCATTGGATTTTTAGCGTTGTGCAGTTCACCCTCAATTAATAAGTACTTAAAGAAATAAAAGAAATAGAAATTGGCAGTTTGTTGCTTAATTATGTTACGTTTGTCATAGTTTTCTGCATGAAAACGGTAATCTTTGGGGATGATTGCTCTGGATCTAGCTATGGCTGTAGAAGAATGCTGGGTAACTTCAGACAACCTGAAGTAGTTCAGAACCATTTTTAAAAGCATGGCTGTTGGGTTTTTAACGGCTACCGGGCCCGGGTGTTGATTATTCTGTTTTAAAAGGCTGAGGCAATCACAGGTGATTCTTTACCAGCTCTAGTCAACTTTCCTTTAGACTCAGTGAAGGCCACTATGTGACCTTGCCCGAGGGCGTAGGTAAGGACAGGAGAGGAGCGCTGGTGAAGGGAGCTGCAGGAGGAGCAACCTCATGGCAGTGCCTGGCATGAGAAGGGAAGGGTGCTGGGAAGGGGAATCTCATCGGGTACCCACTGGGTTTGCTGTTTTGCAGGTTGATGCCTTTTTTCCCCCCACTTGCTGAGGCAGCCCTACTTCCTGAGTGCCCTTTTTCAGGGGCCATGGGTGTGAACGACACCCTTCTCTCCCCTCTCACCCACTGACAGGGTGGACTCAGCAGGCTCTCAGTCAACGTACGCGCATCGCAACCTACCATTATTATTTTTTTTAATTATTTTTTTTTTCTCTCACAATCTCGGCAACATAACCATGGTTGTAGTTCTTCGGCATGACAGCTCCGTGTTAATAACCGTCCTGTTAAAGTACCCTGTGTAAAGCCTCTTCAGTAAAAGTCACAAAGCCGTGAACTTCTTCCCCACAGCTTGTGTCACGCCTTCCTGAGGTCTGAGCAGCTCAATTCAGAATCTAGTCAGGACTTCTTCTATTTCTATGTTGCAGTTTGCTTTTGGAGAATGGTGGGAAAAGATTGGAGCATTCCCTTTTAATTTAAGACATGTAAGATGATACCAAAGCAACGGAATAATATGTAATTGTGATACAAGATTGTCACAAAGACCTAAAACTGCCTAATTAAAGGTATATTTTATTGTAGGCAAATCCAGAAGCACAGCTCTTACCAGGACAGAGGTTTGTCAGCGAAGGTATGTTTCCATAGGAATCTTACTGCTGTGTGCGATGCCTGTGTCAGCCTGTGGAATAATGCGAACGTGCCTTTGGCTTTCTGCCTTTGTAGAAGCAGAGGAGCACGGAGTCATTGTGGTGGCTTTGTATCCCTATGATGGCATTCATGAAGATGACTTGTCCTTCAAAAAAGGAGAAAAATTGAAAGTTATTGAGGAGTAAGTATGACAGTACTGATTGTATTGTAGTTTTTCTTTGAACTCAACCTAATTCCCTTAATTTTTTTTTTCTTTTATCCTACTACTAACATGAGTGTATGAATGGTAGGAGAGCTCCCTTATATGTGAAAATACAAATGCACGTGGAGCTGTTGGTAGGACTTGGCAGGTGCCCTACGACAGAGCCGATGGCTTCTCAGGGGGCTCGAGTTCAGAGGAAAGATGCTTCTCTCTCCAGCTCAGGCAAAGCTCTCAGCACAGGAGAACCCCAACAACACTTCATCGTTTTCCTTTCCTGTGCATACTACTGTTGTTTCTGTTTTTCAGGCTGGGAGAATGGTGGAGAGCAAAATCTCTCACGACCAGGAAGGAAGGCTTCATTCCCAGCAACTACGTAGCAAAAGTGAACACCTTGGAAACAGAAGAGTGAGTTCTCTCAGGCTCTAAATACGGGCAAACCACTTCACCGGGGTGGTGGGTCCCTTGTGGGTCGGGGAAAAAAAGGGTTCTAACTCTCTGAAATATTTTTCAGATGGTTCTTCAAAGACATAACCCGAAAAGATGCTGAAAGACAACTCCTGGCTCCTGGAAATAGTCCTGGAGCTTTCCTCATCAGGGAAAGTGAAACATTGAAAGGTAAGCTTCGGGGTGGGTGACTTTGGCATCGACAGGAGTTAAAAACGTACAGCCTGTCTTGACAAAAATTGGTGTCAAGTGGCACTGAGTGTGGATTAGTCCTCGTGTGAATTTTATGCAGTTATGTAGGGGTGAGAAGGGTGAGAAAATCACCAGGAAAACAGAGTTACAGGTTAACACCCAACGTTGAGATAGGGGAAAAAAAAAATGTGCGTGTGCCTGTGTGTGATTACACTGCCAAGAAGC